AAAGCCTCATCCCAAGTGGCTTCCGAACTCCCTGGTGGCAATGGCTCAAGTATTGGAATGCAAGCCCATCACCACTACACACTTTACCCCAGGGCTATGGTGGGCATGCTCTAGCTGGCTTGATGAAAAGCCAGCCCCCTAAGACAACCAGACAAACAAGTCCCCACCTCACCTGGGACCTCCTGGTGATGCAATGACACCTGTACATACAACCGTCTCACCTGCTGCTCTTCTGAGGAGAGGACCTGGTGGCTAACATGATGAGCCACGTCACCACCATCATTGGTGCTGTAAATTAACGTCTCTGTCTCTGAGAGGCTGGCTCTTGCTCTGGGAAATCTGGGTGCGGATGCTGAAGACACTTCTTGGTGGTAGCTTGAGCCTCCCTGGGTAACATCAGTGGCCAAGTGACCGTGTCCACTCATTGCCACATTCTCTGTCCCCTGCGGGCAGGGCTTTGCTTCCTCCGCCCCTAGAAGCCGGTGCAGGCTGTCCGCTAGCTCTGGGTAGTCTGCTTCCACCTCTGTGCAGTCCCACCTGCCATTGCCCTCGGATTTCCCACTCAGTGAGGCTTCAGAAAGTGATTTTCCCACAACCACAGCCATTGGGACAGAATTTCTTCCACAAGATGATGCCAAGCCTCAGGCTCTCTGAAATACACAACACATGGTAACAGCAACTCACCATCCCATCTCGTCTCCACCTCAAGTAAAGAAACTGGGTGTGTCTAATAACAAAGAGCTTAAGCATGTTCTGAGTCGGACCCCCAAAATCACAGAATCATGGAATGGTTTGGATCTTAAAGATCACCTAGTCCCAACCTCCTGCATGGGCAGGGACACCTCCCACTAGACCAGCTTGCTCCAAGCCCTATCCAGTGTGGCCTTGAACACTTCCAGGGATGGGACATCCACAACTTCCCTGAACAACCTGAGCCAGTGTCTCACCACACTCACAGTAAATAATTTATTCCTAATGTCTAACATAAATCTACTCTCTTTCAGCTTTAAACTGTCTCCCCTTGTCCTATCCTTACATGCCCTTGTAAAAAGTCCTTCTCCAGCTTTCCTGTAGGCCCCCTTCAGGTACTGGGAAAAAAAAAATAAATCACAAAGTTGAATCTTGGCACATCAAGCAGGACAGAGGAAAGAACAAACCATCACGTCTCAGCAGCTTTTTCTGATTTTGAGGACATGACACACAGGGAAAATCTAATTAAAGCTCTAGCAGCACCGAGCACAAACCTCTGCTTTATACCTTCCTGGCACAGTGCAACTGTCTCCCGAATTAATGGCCAATCTCACAAACAGTTTGTGCACCATGAGGTTACTGGGCCCAAAGGAGACATGATTAACTAGGATGTAAAGTACCTATCAGTGTGGCTGAGTCTTGAGGGCTACTGGGGTGGAAAGCTGAGGGTTTTTAAGAGACAAACTAAAAACCTTGAGATGGAAGCCACCCAAAACTGAGAAATATATATATATATATATATAAAATAAAAGGGGGAGGTAGGAGTCTCTAAAACTCAAGCTTGGTGCTTAGCTCTGCAGGTTCTACCTCAATTAACAGAATTAAGTCTTTGTGAAATTAATTAATGGAAATACTTGCTCAATTGATGACACATTTTCAAGTGTGCTGTACTGCCAAGCCAAATGCATCCTGCTCAAATCCTTCTAATGTGAGATACTCTTCTGAAGGCCTGAGCCGCAGGTGCCCACACATGGAGAAGTTCCACCACCACCCTCTTGCTGCGTGTGCTGGACACTGCAGCAGGACAATTGATGGGCCAGGTCAAGGAGACCCAATGCAGCACATGGGAAATCTTGTTTTGCAAACAGCAGCCAGGATTGAGCACCTCTGCCTGTGTCTGCCAAGCTAGCAGGACTCAGAAGTATTCTCCACACAAATGACACTTCCTCGCAGGACACAGCAACCGGTGCTGCCGAAATCACCACGCACAGGCTGTGTGCTGCTCAGGCACTGGTGGGAATCTCTGGAGCCCCAGCAATACCAAACGAAGCCTCCTCCAGCAACTCCAGCCTGAACTAGGGTGCCAGCCTTAGGAAAATGCCAGCAGAGTGAGTTTGCCACTAGGCACCCAGCGAGCGCCGGGCTAGCTGGCCTCTCCAGAGGCCAGCCCTGGGAGCAGGGACAGCAAGCTCAACTGAAAAAGAAATACAAAAATAAAGGAGGAGAGAAAGTACTCCCAAACGATATCTGGAAGTGGGAAACAAGTTGATACTCACACCCTCCATCAGCTCCTTTGTCACTGTCTCATTTGATGGTTTTCCCATGGGCAGAGCCCATGCAGGGAACAAAGAGCGGCGGCGGCACAAGGCGCTGGGTCTCCAGGGGAGACGGAATCCCCAGCACAAGCCATGGCAGGCCCTGCAGCTGCCTTCCCCTCCCTGAGAGCTGGCAGCCCCTGCAATGGCTGGGCAGCTAAATTCAGCAAGGCAGCAGCTGCCCAGAGAGCAAGGAAAGGCTGGGCTCTCCCAGCCTTCCAGGCAGGCTGTGTCCCCTGCCCAACACCTGCACTCACCCACTCGATTGCTTGAATTGCTACCAAATACGACCCTGTTACCCTAAAACAGATGGTATCACTCTCTTTCTCCATCCTCCCCTCCCCCCCAAAAAAACCAAAAAGGCTGCATTTCCAAAAAGGCACTGTAATTGCAGTAAACTTAATTTATAAACCTACCCCTGCTAAATTCTCTACATAGAATGGTTTGGGTTGCAAGGGACCTTAAAGATCATGTAGTTCCAACCCCCTGCCATGGGCACCTCCCACTAGACCAGGTTGCTCAAAGCCCCCATCCAACCTGCCCTTGAACACTTCCAGGGAGGGGACATCCACAGTTTCCCCGGGCAACCTGTCTCCCCACCCTCACAGTAAATAATCATCTTGTTTAACAGACAGTAGCTGTCTGATACCAACAGAGTGTCCCAAACCACTCAGAAACCCGTGTGCGCTTCACACACATAATTTGTGTGATATCTTTAGGTATCCATCACACAAACCTTGAAGGCCTGTGGTCTTTGAGCCCCAGGAGGCAGGTCCCCAGTACCTGCCAGCCTGCACCGACTCAAATTCGTCATGCAAGCATTATTAAACCAAATGCCAAAAGGTCAAATCCAACTTAGAGGTGATTAAAAAAACCCAGAAAAATCCCCTGAGATACAATCTGTTCACCAGCTTTGAAAGGCAGGGCCTTGGCCACAAGGAGAAACGATGCTCACCAGCTGGATTCCTCCTCTTCCAACCAGAACCTAATGAGTAAAAAGCTGCTGGGGTGACAAATCGTAAAGTACCGTGTATTAAATCCCAGGATCTATTTCTGAGCCACACAGGCTGCTACAAGCTCACCATGTTGTGTGCAGGTGATTCAGCAGAGAACATCACTAGCTATCACGACACAAATGCGTTGTCTCACCAGCTCTAACACCTCCTTGCACGTCCCAGCAGTGCTGCACATCCAAAAATGATTCAATAAATACAAATCTCAACAGAAAGGAGGGTGCTGGACACCCACAGCTTCGGACAAAAATGCCTTGACAATCAGTTCTGGTGTTAGGCAGAGATTTTAAAAAATATGTAAAAGAAAGAAAAACTCAACAAGGCACCAAAATAGACTTTAAAGTGTTAAATTGAACGTGAAGGAATTAGTGATCAGCCTTGATGCCTCTTCATTATTAAGATGCCACCTTAAATTCAAACCTAAAAGAAATTACAGATCACAACTCACCTGTTGTTTCAGTGACTGTGTGGAGGAGCACAAAGTTCTGTGAACCAGTGAACTATACTGAACTTTCAAGACTATCTGCTGACCTTACGGATGCAGCATGCAGTGATATACATTTCTGTGATGCCACAAAAAAGATTCACAAGTTCACAAGTTCATTAAATCTCCAGAAGCTAATTGGAAGCTAAAGAGAAACCAGGAAACCTGCCAACACATGTGAGTGAGAGTCAATCCGATTATCTCAGAATGTGTCAGGTCACTTAAAGGGACACCAGAGGTTTTGCTGCATTTTCAAAAGCCCCTAATTCAGGCACCTAATTTCAATTAATTCTGAGGGGAGCTGGACATCCAGCCACAACTGAATGCCAACTAGACGGGGAAGTTGCACACATCCCACATGCAGAATGATCAGGCAAAAAGTCGTACTTCCAAACAGACTGAAAATGCTAAGCCACTAAGAGCAAGTCCCAACAACAAGAGAATCTAGAAAATAAAAGTTTCTCACCGTTTTCCAACAAAAAAAAGGCAACAAAACCGTAAGCCAGGTTGCTTGTGGTGGGGATGCAGCGAGATGAGAGCTCCTAACAGGAAGAAACCACCCCAAATCCTCAGGCAGGTCTGAAGAGGGACGTACAACCACAGCTTCAGGCACAGTGGAGACTTTCCACTGGCCTTGAAAAAGCAGGAAGGCAGCCAGAAACCCCGGGCTGCACCCCAGCCCTCCTTTGTCTGCCCAGCGACCGGGTGGCACCGGCACGGCAGGCAGGCACCTGCGGAGGACTTGCTGTAAGACGAGAGGCGAAGGCAGTGCCCGTTTCATACATCCATTCCAGCGGGGACAGGTCCCCGCGGCCCTGGGGAAAGCGGCGCCCCCGGGCAGCCCCGCGGGGCCCGAAGGCCACGGAGCCGCCCAGACCCGGGGCCGTCCCCCCGCCCCAGGGACCGCTCAGCGGCTGCTCCAGCCGCCCCAGCCCGCGCTCATGGAGCTTCTCCACTTCCTCCCAGCTCTGGTTTTGCTGGGAAGCGGTGGGTTTTGTTGTTTTGGGGTAAAAAACACCCCAACAAACCAAACCACACAGCTCCTGCCTTTTGGGCCTGCGGGACCAGAGTTTTGGTTTGGGGGGGTGTGTGTGTGTGTGTCCCCCTTATCTTGCATCTTCGCTGCCCGGAAAGTCTTTCCACAGCTTAAAACCCGGCAGATTCACAACAGCGACAAGGAAACCAGAAGCAGCCGAGCCGAGGAGCACCCGGGGGT